GGAGAGAGCTATGTAATGTAATAAGTGAAGGAGGCGATTTAATGCCTGGGCTGTGCGGGCAACAAGGAGAGTATCATCTGCATATTCGATGTCAGTAATAGGCTTATCAAATGACAAAACAGAAGGCAAGACCTGGAAAAGAGAACGATAGGAAGAATAAAAGTCCTCGAAAAGAACCGAGAGAACGATAATAAATAAGCAGGGTGAGAGTGGGCATCCTTGGCGAATGCCCGTTTTAAATGGGTAAGAGTTAGATAGGGTGGGTCCCTCGCGGACCCGGAAGGTAGCGTTGGCGTAAATGGCCATTACACATTTCACGTAGTGTGGCGTCAGGCCTATACGATGGAGAGAAGTCTCCAGGGCAACGTGGCTGACGGAGTCGAAGGCCTGAGCCCAATCCAAAAAGAGCGCGTAGAAAGAGATCCCGTGTCTTTCATGCATCTCAAGTAGACGACGAATGATAAAAAGAGGAGAAGAAGTGGACCTGCCGGTCCTAAAACCAAACTGATAAGGGGAGATGCGGTCGTCTATTGCTTCTTTGATACGGTGGTGAAGAAGCGCGGCATAGATTTTATAGACAGTGTTAACTAAAGAAATAGGGCGGTAGCTGGAGGGAGATTTGGGGTCTTTCTTTTTACGTTTGTAGATCATGATAACCACCGCCGGTGCCCAGTTCTTGGGGGCCGTAGCTTGAGAAAAAATATGGTTATAATAGGCAAGGAGAGAGAGGCGGAAATGGCGGGGAGAATGTTTCCAAAGTTCAACTGGTATAGAAGCAGGGCCTGGGGCCTTCTTGTGTCGCATTCGATGTAGGGCCGCGTCAAGTTCGGCCTCCGTGAAAGGAGCGTGGGTCATTTCCGCTGGAGGGTAAAGAGGGGTGGGGTCCATTGGGGGGACTTCTTGGTATCCCCACACTTCGTCGGACAAGTATTTCGCCAGGGTTTCCGCTTTTTGCGCTTTGGAGCATATTTTCCCATTGGGTTGAAGGACTCCTTGTGTTTTGGGTGTGTAAGGTTTTCGCACAAATTTTAATGTGGCCCACTGATTTGATAGCGGGCCTTTGCTATCCTGAAGGAGCTGGTCACATAGGTGTTGGCGCTTGTCTTTCCTGACCTGTTTCCGAACTGCTTTGCGGAGTTTCCGAATGGAGTCTGACTCCTGAAAAGGAGTATTGTCTATCTGCTTAATAAGGGTTTTGGCCTTTGAGGATAAGTATTCTTTCTGGAATTTTTCGGTGGTTTCCGGTTGTAGAGCGGAGGCGGCCGCGAGGACCTGATCCGATAGGCTTTGGGAGGATGCGGGGTTAGCGGTTGTGGGTGGGAAAAGGAGCGGTAAAAGCGGTCGTGGCGGTGTTGAATGTCGTCCTGCATTAGAGGAAAAGGCGACGCCTTTGAAGGCAAGCTTGTCTGCACGCGTGTTGCCACCTACGCCGGCGTGTCCGCGGACCTTAAGGATAGCTAGGTCGAAAATAAGTCGCGCTCGAGTGATATAGGAGCGGAGTTGCTCCACCAGTTGTGGGTGTGCGTGAGGGAGAATGAGATCATGACACAAATTGTAGACAAACTGGGAATCCGTGTAGAGATCAATTGGGAGATTGCGGACTTTGCCTGGATGTCGGCAAATATAGTCCAGGGCCTCGATGAGGGCCTGTAGTTCAGCTGTGTTATTGGAGCCGACCGGAGTAAAAGAAAGGCCTTGCCCGACAGGGCCATAGAAGTCTTGCCATTCGAAATAAATGGGGAAAGGTAAAGGCCCAGCCAGCCGGGTTGCCCGGCGAAACACGGTTCTGATCTGGACAGGAGCCATCAGTGTAGATTTGTATTGCTCCCGTAGTCGGGTGCGAACGTAACGGGGGAAAAGGAGCGTTTGGGAAATTGTTGATGTTCGATCTTTGGTCATCCGGGGTTTTGGGGAGGGGGATCCGAGGTTGTAGCTTGGGGCGGACCCTGGCGAATCTATCAAATGAGAGAGTAAAAGTAACTGGATAGCGTCTATGAAACCATGGAAGTTGCCAAGTGATTTGTGACGAAACTGACTGCAATTGATGAAACGCTCTTTCATGTATGAGAACATGATCGAGGACTGCAAAGTCCGTGTTGTTAGGGGAGAAAGGCGTTGCTGTAGGACTAGAGTTAATTGCTTTATATGTAATGAGTTTTTAGAGTAGGAGTAGAGTCGCTTGAACTTGGACGATGCAAGCAAAAAATCTTCCGATTATTAAATAAGGAACTCCACAAGAAACGCATAATTGGTTGTTTCGTCAAACGGTGAGTCAGATGGTAAAACGGCCGGACCAATGTATTCAGAGAAAGTGGAGAGGTCTTCCTTGACGATTCTGGCGTTAAAGTCCCCTGCTAACACTATGGTAGCGGGACGGGGAAGTTGTTGGAGAAAATTCGGGAGTTCTTCCCAGAACTTTTGTTTGCGATTCAAGTCTTGTGTTGCATCTTGTAGCATAGAGGGGGCATAAATGGATAATATATATAATTGTAGGAAGAGGCTGAGTGCGTAGCAGAAGAGCTGCTACTCGAGCGGAGAAAGGAATAAAGTCATATACCAAAGGAAGAGATTTTGGTGATACGAAAAATCCGACGCCTGCGGCAGGGTCAGTTGGTGTTCCCGAGAGCAAGTATTTGCCCCCTTTCGCAAAAATTTCTTTGGAGGCCGTGGATTTAGTCTCCTGGAGGCAAAGTATGTCGAGGCCCTTCTTGATGGCGAATTCCGCCAGGGCCTGATGCTTGCCGAGCCCGATAACGGACTCGATATTCCAGGTAGCGAGGCGTAATAAAGTATTTAGTGGGCGCCATGACAGATGGCGGGACGGCATGTCCAGCAACGATGCCTGAACATAAAGTCTGTATAGGGCGGCGCGTGAGCCTATAGTGGGGTGAAGGCGCTGTGACGAATACGCTCTGCGGAGTTGATCAGGACTGTTAGTTACCCTTTTCAGGGGCCACCGGGAGTGGGCTAGGGTAAATTTCCCACTCTCCAGCACAGAGGAAATCCAGCTACGATATTCCCGGCGTGACTGACGCCGGCGATCGTTCCTGAGTTGGTGTCGCCTGTGACGTGCCCCTGCGATCGGCGATTGTCATGAATCTGTTTGACCCGTGACGCACCGCGAGATTCGTGGCCACTGTGATCTATATTGTAGCGGTTGTCTAAGCCATGAAGCGCGAAAAAATTCTGAAGAAGTGGCTTGGTGGGGCGCGGGAGGGGCAATAAAATCTTAGTCTGGGCTTGTGTGAGTCGGGAAAGCCAATTAGCTGCCCATTGTTGTGGGTTGAAATCTTCTAATTTGTAATCTTTAGTGAGGGCTTGCATCGATTCGATGAAATTACTGGTAGCGGAGAGGGACGGGTCGATTACCTCCATTTCATACAGAATTCTATCCAACTGAAGGAGCTCGCACTTCCTGAACAGAGGGAGGGTGGTCCAGCCAGCCTGGACTTGTTCGGATGACCAATATCTGCCGGCTTCCGCGCAGAAAGGACAGTTGTTCGCGGTGCCTAGGAGCTGGCCGCAAACGTGGCCTGCTTCCGTGTTGGAGGGACAGATGTAAGCTTTTACCGGCATATGACCCTTCTTCATAAATCCCGGATGGATGGGTTGCTGGGAGCAGTCGTGGCAGGAGAGGTTATATCCTAGAGTCCTAGAGCACATGTACACGCCAAACAGATCTGAACCTGTTGGACTGCGGAGGGCTTCTGTTTGGTGCCCTTTTTGCCGGAGTCATGGCCTTTGCCCTTTTGCTGGTTGGAGCCTTTGGAGCCCTTGCTCTGCCGCTGGTTGGAAGTCCAGTTTGAGCCCCAACTTTGGTTGCCCTGGCGGCCCCATCTCGGGCCCCAGTTCCAATCATCACCATCATCTGGGTCCTGGTTCCCCCAATCATTTCGGGAATCATGATCACGCTCTTTCCAAGAGCCTTTGCCACTTGATTTACCTTTGGGAGTCCGGGGTTCATAATCCTTGGAGCCTTTGGAGCCTTTGTTCTGGAATCCTCTTCCCTTTACCACCCTTGGAGCTCTTACTCTTGGCAGCACCCTTTCCGAAATCATCCGAATTAACCCCGTAATCCTGAAAAGCCTGTTGGGTTAGGGAAAGGAGCCCACCTGCACCTTGAAAGGGGAGCAACGGGTGGCTCTCCAGCAGCTTGGTTAGATCCGACCCCATCCTCATTGGGAAAATGGGGTATGGAAAACTGTGGTGGTGAAACGCGACGTTCGATACATCAAAGGCATTCAAAGGCCTTGTCATAGGTAGGTCTCGTTGTAGTGGTGCGGTCGATCACGGTTCATTGTCGATCTCATGCGCTGAGAAAAGGCGCCGTGCCATCTTTCCAGGATGGCCGCGTAGTGCTCCTCACACTGTAAAAGGAGGCAACAATATCTTCTGGAGTAACTTGCATCCAATACGTAGGCGACCTGCGCCAGCATGCGCTGGGTCGTGGCCCGCTTCGAGGACCATATCTGTAGCGTTTGTCGCCAAACCTGAAAATCTGATTCGTCCTCAAGCTCGCCGAGGATGTCGAGGAGGGTGTGGAACGGCTGCATGGACAACCTGTCATCTGTCGGGACATCCTGTTCCGCTCTGGGGCGGGTATCAGAATTATCTGGAGTCTTCCAGTACTTCTTGGAGCTTCGCATATAGTTCAGGAACTGTTGCGCCTTGAGCTCGCTGAGAAATTCGATTCGGACCACTGCTGACGTAGATGTCACTAAGTGGTTGTGCAGTGCGCACACATCAGACGCTTCCAGGTTGGCGCCCCACAAAAAGTGATTTATGTTGTTGTCGAGGGCGCGCTTTGTCGTAAAGGGAGGCAGCTCGTGTAATAGCACTGTGCGGTTTGAACGGGATCGTTCAAGGCTTTGGACCTGGGCGGCTATCCGCTCGTTGGTCATCTGCTGCATAGAGGTCTCCTGCATGACCTGACCATAGAAAATGCCACATTGTTCGAAGAGCTTCGTGAGGTTGGGGAGCACGTTGTTCGAGTCCCTCCATTACAGTGTCCGAAGAGGTCGCCTCGAAGTCGTGTCTGCGGTTGGTTGCCGCTTCCTCCGGGCTTGCTCGCTCAGCCGCAGCTTGTCCCGCAGCGCTGGTTCCATCTCATCCCATTGTAGATCCAGTTCTATGATTTGTAGCTTGAAGATTTCCAAGTCGGAGTCATCCATCTTTGCCTTCTTCGGGCTGCCAGGGTTCTTGTCGCCCGCAGCCGCCTTCTTGGCTTTCTCCTGTTGTTCTTTCCACTGAAGGAAGTCTGCATACTGTACCGCATCAGGCTGCGGCTCCTGCTTCACCGGCTGCTCCCCTGAAGGGGGCGGCTCTTGCTTCGTCTGTCCGGCTGTTGGGTCAGAGGCCATGGCATCAGACATGGCTCAATCGCACGAAAATTCGAGGTAGTTACACTGTAAGACTGCGCAAGCTGGGAACATCGGAAAACTTAGTCCTGCTAAAGAGATGGCACAACTGACACACTAAGGTGACGGGCCCCCAGTAGGGGCAGGCTTTCAGGGCGGACGTACCACCACACCTTGCGCCAAAAGCCTGGACGCCGACTGCGACGACAACTACTACTGCTGATGCTACTACTGCCGCTGCCCCTGCCACTGCCACTGCTACGGCTTCCGTTGCTGCCACTGCTGCTGCTACGACTACTTGCTGTGGGCGAGGCAAGTATGTCCGTGCACTCTGTCCTTAATGGTCAATGCAGGTTACCAAGTCTTACCGCAAGTTTGAGTCACTGAGTCTGCGAAGCTGTATTTTGGCGGTGGTCATGACGATGATGGTTCTGTTGACAACATTGCAGATGCTGCCAACAAAGAAAACCATGCTCATCACCATGATGACGATGACGATGTCATCATTAGCATCATCATCATCACCACCATCACCTCATCACTATCGTCATCCTGGTTGGGACTTCATGCAAAATGCATCAACCCCACAAACGATGGGGCCCGGACAGGTGGTCCGGCGACCCACACCCATACCTGGGCTTCTGTCGCTGTCAAAGATGGAAGACTAGTAAGATACGGTAGCGCTTGCGGCACAGACGATGTCTGTTCGTCATGCCTGTCTTCACTATCTCTCAGCTGCTTGCGGACTTCGCACCAGGCTACTGATTGGAAAGGAGCACAGCATTTGGGACCCTGCCTCAGGCCCTACCATCGAAGCTTCGTTACGTCATCCTAGCGGCCAAGTCACGGCCTTGTGTGTCTTGCCGTTGGCTGTGCACTGCCCCCCGGGAGAAGCGAAGTACCTCTTGGACTTCATACCGAAGCTTAGTCACGGATTTCGGGTCCATATAGGTCCTAGGTATAAAGGCTTTGGGCATTTTAAGTTTTTGGCCTAGTTGAGGCTTTACGTTAAAGGTAAGGACACAACAATAACCAACTCTGTGACTTCGAACCTCCGACTACTCAACCCATCAACAGTAACATCCCATCAACAACTCGTCAAGTTCCTCATCATTTCCCTGCAGGGTACATAAAGACAACCACACCGCTGGAATCATTTAGTTTGTTTCAAAAGGGCTAACCTGCAGCTGCGGCACGCAGTCCAACCTGCTCCAAGCTCGCCGGTGGTTGACTGGCCTGCGATCCCAATTCCAATCGCGCCATCAGCATCGTCGTTGTCGTTGTTCTGGCAGGCCTGGGTGGCACAGTTGTTGCAGTAGCCCCAACGGGCTTTGTTGCCGCCTTTGCACTCGATGTTGAAGCCAGGCCTTGGATCACACCATCCGAAAAGGGCCCGGTCATGGAGGAATTTCAATTGAAACAACTGAGAAACTAAGCCCCTGACCTCTGCATGGGGCAGTCCTGGTAAGTACCTTTCTTCACCTTGAAGGCCTTAAGAATTCCTTTCTTATCCACCTTCGTGTCTTTGATGTACTTGGCGCTGAACAAAGCTTTGGCATTGTCATACTCTTTCTTGAACTCGTGCTCCACACAGTTATCCTTCGGTTCGTCCACACACATTCGAATCTTTTTGAACGGCACCGTGTTGAAAGCTTCGTACTTGGCATCCTCTGCTTTGTCTTCTGCGGAATCTTTGTTCAGCAAATCGTTATTGGTCCACAAAGGAGAGGAGAAGCCCAGCTTGGATGTCTTACCAGCCTTCAGCACCAACTTCCAGTTCTCCTCACAAGCCAAAAATGTTCAAGAGCTCTTCGGGTCCCGAAGGCCCTAAGCTCAACAATCTTAGAACTCCAAAACCCATAAAGCGATAAATCATAGGTTGAGCTAACTGAGCTAACTCATTCAAGCAGAGTCGCTCGGTCAAAAAGAAGCCGAGCCCCAACTCAAGGCCGACTGACCAAAACACTAATCTATAGCAGCTACGACAGTACTTTCGACCTTCCTTCCCGAAAAAACATCCTAGCCGGTTCACAGTGGAACATTGAGCCTAGGCAAAAAGCATCACCCTGAACCTTGGACTGTACCACCCTTACCCAGATCGGATTTAGTGTCTAGGGCAGTTGTACACCAAAGCAGCCTTTACCCGTGCAAAAGCTTCAAGCACTGGTGCAAAATCCTTAAAAAATATCGTTATCCTATTGTGCAACGCACACACACAGTCTTACATATTGCAACGCGAGCATGATTCACATGGCTAGCTCGACACATGCCTGACAGCTTTCGTGATCTGCCCCTAAGTAAAGCAGTGTCTGAACTACCTATGGTTGATGCACTGGGAAATCGGGCAAAGAGCACTTCTGTTGTCGGGTGCCTGGCAAAAACAACTGTCGTTGCTGCTCATAAATCGAATGCTTCTTGTAAACATGAGACTCTTGGCTAAGTTGGGTGTTTGTACTTCTGTGTCGATCGGTTGGTGAATGACTCTATCAGAACTTGTCCCACTGACCCTGTTTGCTCAGGGGCAGTTCAACAATAGAGTTGCTCTTGCTTGCCAAATCCATGTTGGCGTGATGCTACCTTGAGACGGCCTTGTGAAAAACGTACCAGTTTCGAGTTCCCGCAAGTTCGGTCGATAAACGTGGCCAGGCGCCTGAGCTTCGACTACACTTTTGAAAAAGTTTGCCTTGTACAACTCAGCCGTGGTTAGATGTATGCGTTCTAGTCTTTCGAACCCGTCTGATATCTCATATTTACATATTGTGTCGAACAAATCAAGTCTCTACGTTGTCTTGTCTCCAAAGCCGTTTCAAGCTTCTTGTGCGTGCTAAGAGCTTCCGCTTTCTACATCTCAAACAACATCAACAGAGTCAGCCAGCAAGAGTCCGGTCTCGACTACACTGCAGCATGCTTTCTTGGCACGGCCACGTAAGAAGCGTACTTCACGCTTGACAGTACACGATTTATGGCTTCTATACGCAAACATGTCGAAATTCAATTGCACCTCGAAGTAGTGAGGTCTTCTCGCCTTTCGTGCAATTGCTGGCTTAAGGTGTCTGTGTATATCTGCCGTAGACTAGGAACCCTTGGACAACATTTTTTCCTTTGAATGCTTCCGTTGCGAAGGCACATTAAACTGAGCAGCTTTGATGATTGAATCGTCTTCCTGTCAGATGCGCCAGTGCCCAACACATTTTTGAACTGCGGGGCTTGATACATGTAAAGAGAAACTACAGCATGTTTGGCCGAGTTAAACGTCTGCCAGTTTCTGCAACAAGGTAACCTCAGGTGAGATAACGGAATGATCAGGTCAGTAATCGAAGAACCGTTTGAGACGCAGACTCTGTGGTTCACGGGGGGGTCTGCAGCCGCATATCGTTTGTTGTGCCAGATCGTGCTCGTCTGAGGCTGGTCAGAAACTCGAAGCAAGTGCAGAAAATCAACAAGTCTACAGTTGCATTGTAAATGGCACCACAAAACTATGCCGGGAGGAGTTTGGATACAGGCATATTGCAGCATTCTGTAGCACATCGAACAACGCTATCATGCCAACAGTGGAGATCTGAAAGCCGTTTCACAACCACCATTTGGGCCTGTTGCTCCATTGCTTTTCCACGCCATCCTCCAGAATCATTCCATCTGTCATCATCTAGCATGCTGTCTAATGTTGCCGGTAATCACAGCCAAATCTATAAAACATTGAGACAACTACAAAACTCAACAAGTTAACAGCTTCCATGAAAAATATGATAAGTATCTTTTAAAGGAGAAAAGTCTCGAAGAAAAAGCTCGCTGAAAGTTTGAACAAGTTTCCACTAGAAAATGTCAACAAGAGTGCCGATACAGCCTCCAAGCACACAGCTTTCCTCTTTGTTGGTGCTTTTCCCAGTCTTGAGTTCCGCCAGCACCTTATAGTAGACCTGTTTCGAGACTTGATGTCGTCATTTAACCGCACGAATCATAGTCTCCTTTCCGTTACAACAGCATAAATTCGGCCCAGTGATGCCGTGGTATTGACACTTCGGCATGTAGCTGGTAATCGATGAGTCTGCCAAGTAGCACGTCGCGCAGAAATCTACAAAGAGATGCCCTTTTTTCTGATCGGTCAAATTACCCCAATAGACCTGCTTTGAAGACTCGAACCGACAGATTACCTCATGGGTGTCCGAATAAGGAGCAATCGCCTGTGAAACGGCATGTTTGTGCTTTTTGCCATCGATTGCTCAAAGGCTTGTTCTTCGACGTTCCCCATCTTTGAGTATTGTCGAACAACTTTTCTCCGCATCACAACATTCATCATCTTCGGTGCTTGTCGAAACATAGGACATATGTCTGTCGTGAGACTAGGATTCACTTTTGTGACTGATGTTTGTTTCTTCAACAGCCAAACACTTCAGCACTGCCTCTCTTGCCTCAAGTCTTGTCTGCGAAGGATCGTTGTAGAAACCTGTTCGTTTCGTGCATTACACTGTCCTGGGTTCTAAGTCTTCGCTTCTGGTTCCGTGTCGTAGTCCTAGGCAAAGTGCTTCTTTGCAAGCGGCTGATGCAATGACCATCTTGATGCACCCTGGTTTTTGCTGGCAACTACACTAGCGACATGTAGTTGTGGGAATTGCGAAGGGGCAGATGCTGCATTCGGTGACACCTTCGGTGACACCTACCATCCTGATGTGCTGCAAGGCCGATTCACTACAAGACTCAGTCGGAGGCAGCCAGGCTTGCGTGATGCTGTTGATGTGTTGTAATAGATGAGTCGTTCCGTCTTTCTTTCGCTGCTACATGTCCTTTCAAGAAGAAGCAGCACTTTGGCTTCAAGATGCTTCGAGGACTCATGTCACCACTTTCAAGCATGATCCTTTGCCCTCTTTGTTTGATCATACATTATACATGACAAGTTTTATCAAGCCTTCGTGTGTCGATGCCTCCTTCTTGTCCTTGGCCCTGGCTCCTTCACTTGTCCCGGCCACCTTTCGGGCTCATAACTTTGCGGCTGGCGATTTCGAGTGCATGTTTTTTTTTTGCACCGAGACATGATATGTGTTGATGTAGATCTGCGCGCTTTCCAGGCAGGAGTGAGGAAACAAGAATCGTGGCGATTGTCCATGCTCTTGTCTTTGGTCCATTGACAGATACGTACAAAAACATGGCTCCTTATTGAAACAAATGCTTCATTTTGGTTGTCTATGCAGCTACCAACCCATCCATGGAGAACGGGTGTGTGTGTGTGTCTGTGTGGGTGTGTGTCTGTGCATCTGTGGTTGTATGTGTATGTACCTGTATGTATGTATGTGTGTGTATGTATGTATGTATGTATGTATGTATGTATGCATGTATGTATGCATGAATGTGCGTGTATATAAATAATATATATATATATATGTATAAACATAACCTTCACATATACATGTACACATACATATACACATTCATGTACATATACATACAAATGTACATATACGCATACGCAAACATATAATATATATATATATACATACATACATACATACATACATACATACATACATATACACGTGCGTATACATATACACGTACGTAAAGATATATACATATATGTATCTGTGTATGTACAGACTTTGGTGGTCATACAACAACTTGTCTACCTGTTCATCTGTCATATGATACACTTCAAATCCATGTGAGCGCGAATGATCATAATTGTGCATTTGATTGCGGCAACCTGAAGCTGATCTCTGTGGAAGAAACCGAGCAGACCTGAAATCAAAGTGCTCATACCGCCGCCGTCCTCCGTGCGCGCGTCTTCATGTTCGACGGATTCCGAACCTTCAGAAAACCCATGAATGAAGCCTAAACGAAACCCGAAACCGCATCTCTGCGATCCTACACACTCACTCCAGGATGCTTGCTGTAGCCCAGCAATGCTTCGACTATCGAGTTTTTGGTTGTGGCGCTGATATTCTGAGGCAAAAACTTAAACGGTTGAGAACTACACAGAAGAAAGACACAGTCACGCCTTATCTGAATCTCAAGTTTACCCTCAAACTGCAAAGCCTGGAGTCTAGAGTGCATAAGGACAAATCTCTAGAAGCTGCCAATTCCGAAATGAGAAAGCCCTGCATCCGAGATCTCCCATTGTTTTTTCCCTGAAATCTGAACACGTCTTGCGTCATCCTCACGTCCGGATAACACTGCAGCCCAAGACCGAAAGGAGCTAAAGGCCCCCCCAGACACAACATCGTGCAAAACGCTCGAGACGCTGGCGGAGGAGGCTATCCCCATTTGCTGCCGCAGGCTGGTGCCAGCCACCGTCCTTGCAGTTCAGGGTTTCGTGCTTAGCATAGGCAAGATGTAAGATTCCGGGCTTCAGCACCAAGCTTGAGGGTTGAAGGTTTTGCATTGGGGTTCAATTTCAGGGTTGGTGGCTTTGGGGTTGTCCAACGGCTTCTGACGCTCGCATGCAAGGCCTTATTTTCTTACAGCGCCTTCCGTCCTCAGAGCTATGTTTGAATGTCGAAAGTCCTTGTGCTGTGCTCTGAACCGTTTAAGCACCGTGTGCCTGTTCGATGTGTTCATGCAGGAGGTTTCGAATCGTTTAGGACTAAGGGAGTTTCGGGCTCGAACATCCATCAAGCCGTAGGATTCAATCTACAGGATTTGGGTGCAAGTCGTGGACATTTCAGTTTGCATCCAGTCTTCGGCGTGCACAATGTTTATCAGAGCACGGCACCATGGGCCTATATGGCTTAGGCTCCCCAAGTCGACCACATTCGAGTCAACAAGGACATGGGAATCTGAGGCTTCGGATG